TGGGGGTCAAGCCTAACTGTAAGAGAATATTGAAATAATTAGAGCAATTTTGTGTGAGAGTAAGGGAAAAGACTCACTGTTTATTCTAAGAAGATAGGAAATTGCAAAAATAAAAAGTATCATCATTGATTTCAAAGGAAAACTTGAAACAGGATTCAGTCTTGCTACCCTCATTTAAAAAATAAGAAATTGTGGTCTTAGAAGGTTCTGATCTACTACATTCTTTCATAGTTCACATGAAGTGGCAATGGGATGATTTAAGGTGTTTTTATTTCCCCTTGATTTAATGTCAAGTATAATTTAGTAGACAATTATATGCAAAACCTTTGATAATTAATTTTCTACACCAAATTAGGCTTTGGCAATCCTTCTCTTAGTCTGATGTCATTATTCTTATAGAATGATGTACACGTTAACTTTGTTTTCTTTTCTCTTTCTCTATTAATGCTTGTTTTTTCAAATAAATATTAACTATTCCACATAACTTCTAAGTTTCAGATTTTAATAATAATTTTTTTATTACAAGATCAACATATTCTTTGCAAAAAAAATCCTTAGCAAATACCAGAGAAGTTAGAGTTTAGCAGAGCAGGACTTTTCTTCATTTTTTAAATTAAAAATTGAATCAACTCTGTGTGTACTTCAACAACTTTCTACCCTCAAAAGAGAAGATTTTAATATGGTTAAATCCGAACATATATTTGAAAAAATTAGAAATAATGGCCTTATCAGATAGTTACTTATACTTTTTAAAAAATACTTTAAGTTCTGGGATACATGTGCAGAATGTGCAGGTTTGTTACATAGTATAAACATGCCATGGTGGTTTGCTGAACCCGTCAATCCGTCATCTACATAGGTATTTCTCCTAATGCTCATCTATATAGGTATTTCTCCTAATGCTATCCCTCCCCTAGTCCGCTACCCTCAACAGGCCACAGTGGGTAATGTTTCCCTCCCTGTGTCCATGTGTTCTCATTGTTCACCTCCCACTTATGAGTGAGAACATGCAGTGTTTGGTTTTCGGTTCCTGTGTTAGTTTGCTAAGAATGATGATTTTCAGCTTCATCCATGTTCCTGCAAAGGACATGAACTCATTCTTTTTTATTGCTGCATAGTATTCCATTGTGTATATGTGCCACATTTTTTTTATCCAGTCTATCATTGATGGGCATTTGGGTTGGTCCCAAGTCTTTGCTATTGTGAACAGTGCTGCAATAAACATATGTGTGCATGTGTCTTTATAGTAGAAGGAATTATAATCCTTTGGATATATACCCAGTAATGGGATTGCTGGGTCAAATGATATTTCTGGTTCCAGATCCTTGAGAAATTGCCACACTGGTTTAACTTCCATAGTGGTTGAACTAATTTACACTCCCACCAACACTGTAAAAGCATTCCTATTTCTCCACAGCCTCATCAGCATCTGTGTTTCCTGACTGTGTAATGATTGCCATTCTAACTGGAGTGAGATGGTATCTCATTGTGGTTTTGATTTGCATTTATCTAATGATCAGTGACAATGAGCTTTTATTCTTGTTTGTTGGCCACATAAATGTTTTTTTGGCCATGTCTGGAATGGTGTTGCTTAGGTTTTCTTCTAGGGTTTTTATGGTTTTAGGTCTTACATTGAAGTCTTTAATTTATCTTGAATTAATTTTTGTATAAGGTGTAAGTAAGGGGTCCAGTTTCAGATTTCTGCATATGGCTAGCCAGTTTTTCCAATGCAATTTATTAAATAGGGAATCCTCTCCCCATTGCTTGTTTGTGTCAGGTTTGTCAAAGAACAGATGGTTGTATATGTGTGGCATTAATACTGAGGCCTCTATTCTGTTCCATTGGTCTATATATCTGTTTTGGTACCAGTACCATGCTGTTTTGGTTACCATTGCCTTGTAGTATAGTTTGAAGTCAGGTAGCATGATGCCTCCAGTTTTGTTCTTTTTACTTATGATTGTCTTGGCTATATGCACTATTATTTGGCTCCATATGAAATTTAAAATAGTGTTTTCTAATTCTGTGAGGAAAGTCAATGGTAGCTTGATGGGGATAACATTGAATCCATAAATTACTTTGGGCAGTATGGCCATTTTCACCATAATGATTCTTCCTGTTCATGAGCATGGAATATTTTTCCATTTGTTTGTGTCCTCTCTTATTTCCTTGAGCAGTGGTTTGTAGTTCTCCTTGAAGAGGTACTTCACATCCCTTGTAAGTTGTATTCCTAGGTATTTTATTATCTTTGTAGCAATTGTAAATGGGATTTCACTGATGACTTGGCTCTCTGTTTGTCTATTATTGGTATATAGGAATGCTTGTGATTTTTGCATGTTGATTTTGTATCCTGAGACTTTGCTGAATTTGCTTATCAGCTTAAGGATATTTGGGGCTGAGACGATGGGGTTTCCTAAATATACAGTCATGTCATCTGCAAACAGAGACAGTTTGACTTCCTCTCTTCCTATTTGAATACTCTTTATTTCTTTCTCTTGCCTGATTGCCCTGGCCAGAACTTCCAATACTATGTTGAATAGGAGCGGTGAGAGAAGGCATCTTGTCTTGTGCCAGTTTTCAAAGGGAATGCTTCCAGCTTTTGTCCATTCAGTATGATATTGGCTGTGGGTTTGTCATAAATTGCTCTTATTATTTTGAGATACGTTCCATTAATACCTAGTTTATTGAGAGTTTTTAGCATGATGGGGAGTTGAATTTTATTGAAGGCTTTTTCTGCATCTTTTGAGATAATCATTTGGTTTTTGTCATTGGTTTTATTTAGGTGATGGATTACGTTTATTGATTTGTGTATATTGAGCCAGCCTTGCATCCCAGGGATGAAGCCAACTTGATCATGCTGGATAAGCTTTTTGATGTGCTGCCGGATTTGGTTTGCCAGTGTTTTATTGAGGATTTCTGCATTGATGTACATCAGGGATATTGGCCTGAAATTTTATTTTTTTGTGTGTCTCTGCCAGGTTTTAGGATTAGGGTGATGCTGGCCTCATAAAGTGAGTTAGGGAGAAGTCCCTCTTTTTCTATTGTTTGGAATAGTTTCAGAAGGAATGGTACCAGCTTCTCTTTGTCCCTCTGGTAGAATTCGGCTGTGAATCCATCTGGTCCTGGACTTTTCTTGGTTGGTAAGTTACTGCCTCAATTTCAAACATTCAAGTCTGCTGAAGCTGCGCCTACAGCTGGCCCTTCCCCCAGGTGCTGTGTCCCAAGGAGATGGGAGTTTTATCTATAAGCCCCTGACTGGGGCTGCTGCCTTTCTTTCAGAGATGCTCTGCCCAGAGAGGAGGAATCTAGAGAGGCAGTCTGGCTGCAGCAGCTTTGCTGAGCTGCAGAGGGCTCAGCCCAGTTCGAACTTCCCGGGTGGCTTTGTTTACACTGTGAGGGGAAAACCGCCTACTCAAGCCTCAGTAATGGTGGACGGACCTCCCCCTACCAAGCTCGAGGGTCCCTGGGTGACTTCAGACTGCTGTGCTTGCAGCAAGAATTTCAAGCCAGTGGATCTTAGCTTGCTGGGCTCCTTGGGGATGGGATCCACTGAGCTAGACCACTTGGCTCCCTGGTTTCAGCCCCCTTTCCAGAGGAGTGAATGGTTCTGTCTCGCTGGAGTTCCAGGCACCACTGGGGTATGAAAAAAAAAAACTACTGCAGCTACCCTGGCTGGGTAGCCTCTAGGGAGCTGGGACTAGAGGTGCACGCCAGAATTCCTGGCTAAGTTTTTGTGTTTTTAGTAGAGACAGGGTTTTGCTATGTTGCTCAGGCTGGTCTCAAACTCCTGGGCTCAAACAATCTGCCTGCCTTGGCATCCCAAAGTGCTGGGACTACAGGTCTGAGCCACCATGCCTGGCCTATAATGATTTTTTACTGTACAAATTCACTTAAAAATAACCTCTATTTTCTCATATATATCAATCATTGAGATTCAGGGGTATTTCTCCTTATGTATTTCTTACTCCCAAATCAGCATTATACTTGAGAGTGAATAATGAGCATATACATTAAAGTCAGGAAAAAATGTCAGGATGCCCATTCTCATCACTATCTTTCAACATTGTTTTGAAATTACTGTTAAGGAGTGGGATTGAGAAGATTAGGTGGTGGAGAGACAATGATTTTTGTGTTTTTTTTTTCTTTTTTGCTTTATTCCTTTATATGTTGTTTATATTTATTACTTTTAAAAAATAAAAACACTATCACTACAAACAGACATCTCTATATATAAAGTTTACATTACATAGCATGGTCTATATTAAAAAAGAATTAGAGTCTGACTCACTTCTCAAACTTGCTAAATTCTGTTACTCTGGACTATTGAGAGTAGAAGATTATAGATTTAGGGGTAGGAGTTAGGTGAAAGTAGAAATAAGCCAGGTTGGAGATTTTAGGATGAGAGGCAGATATTAGTTTTGGTCAATAACGTTGTGGAATTTGGAACCAGGTGAAATAAATCATTAAGATTCAGGAGTCAACGTAGTCCACCAAGCTTTGAACAAAGGAAGTGTATAGTAAGTACTTCCTACATATCAGGCACAACTTATTTTGGCTGACTTAATTCTATAAATTTTCTTAAAAGGTAGAACTAGCCATCTTTATTTTATACTGGGGAAATATAGAGAGAAATTAAGTAATCTAGGAAGGCTTGGACTTGAACCCATGTCAGTCTAACTCTAAAGACTACACTCTTAACTACTGAAGTGTACTTCTACTTATTTGGATGTTTCTCAAGCAGCAGCTCTGAATTTCAGGCGAATCTATCAGATTAATTCTGTTGGTTTATCTTTCCCACATGGACACCATCACTATTTTGAATGCTGCTTTCAAACTCAGATTTTCCCAGTAATTTACAGGAACTACATTGATTTTTTAAAGCATTTTTCAGAATTTTTTGTGTATAAGTGCATTTTTTCAAACTCTGGATTCAAACCAGTAATGGGTCATGGAATCAATCTAGTGGTTGTGATTAGCATATTTTTTCTTCTTTTATCTTTTCTTCATTCAGACCCACAGCATCAACACTCATTAGGTGAGCTGTTGCTGGCAAAAAATATTGTCATCCTAATAGTGTATTTTAAATGTAATAATGCAGAATAGGAATATAGGGATAAATAGAAAATATCAGAGTTTATTAAATATAATGATGACAAATATTCTGCGAGACATTATTTCCAGATATACATAGACAGATACACACACACACACCCCATGATGTATGGATTGCAATGTAAAATATATTCTTTACATTGAAAGGTTTAAAAGCCACTGGTCTATAGAATATCTTGGCTTCAGATTAAGTGCTATTTTATTTCCTGATTTTTATTTCAAGTAAGTCTTGTCTCCCTAATAAATATAAACCTAATTGCAAGCGTAAAGGTAAAATGGCATACATCTCTAAGTTTATTATTGCACCTAACCTGACGCTTGGCACATAACAAGTTCTCAACAAATATTATAATAATTGTAAATGTAGGTGAAGAGGCTAGGATAGCACTGGGGAGCAGTGGGCAGCTGGCCAAATCTGTAGGTAAGCTCTCATAGCTCTGGCCTCCAAAACTGCTAGACCAAGGCAGGACTGAGAGACACCAAACAACAAGATGCAAGGTGTCAGATAGGAGCACTGATTATTTTATATGGCTTGTTTTTTTTCCTCATGTTCAATGTGGAAAATACGCACTACAAAGAAAAGAAGAAAGGGGAAAAATATACCCATAATCCTAAAACTGAAAGATAACCACGATTATTTATAACATTTACAGCCCATTAACATTTGCTACATCTTTCTCCTGTCTTTCCTGTAGTATTACTCTGATAGTACCCTATGCATGTGCCTTACCATATAATAAATTCTCTTCATAATTATAGTTCCATTGGTTATATAATAGCTAATTCTAGCTCTGTTTCACAGCTTATTCAAGCATTCTCTTACTGTCAAACATGTTAGATTGTTTCCAATTTGTAACATTATAAATAATGACTTAACAGCTTTATGTAAAACTTTTCCTGACTTTTTCATTTTTAAATTGATAAAAAACGGACTTTTAAAGGCTCTTGATATATATTATGAGGTCTTGGATCACTCATTGTGATCAAATTTTAAATGGCAAGGCACTGTGTCCTAGGACACCCTACTTAAAGGGCCATTGTATTTTTCATATGGATTGATTTTTGGTGATTTTAATTACCCATATGCATTTCCTCTTTTGTTACCTGAAAGTTTCTATTGAGTTTAATCTAAAAAAGTCTCAATTGGCCTGCAGAGCAATTACCATTTTCCTTATGAATGTTTGCAAAGCCAGAATTTTAACTGTAAATGAGGTTTGTGCATCTATGTTTGGATTGTATATGATGTCTCAGATTTAGGGTACTGATGTGGATAAAAGACTTATCCTTTGTTCAAACGATAATAATATACTGTCTTTATTTTTTGGTTGTATGTAGTGAAGCATGTTGCTTTTCTGTATTTATCAACACTGCCCACAATGTGAGTGGGTTGAATGGAGGATTAATAAAGAAACCTTGAAGGCAACCTATTTTTATGTGTTTCCTAGTTTATTAGAATAGAATCCTATTTTCATTCTATTCCTCTAACAGTTTATTTTTTCTCCTCAAACAGACAAATCTTTGTTGTCTAGGAACAAAATTTAAATAATGCTCCAGTTATGATAAATCTTCTGATATAGGAGGAGATATTTCTGGTGATAAATTAAACATTTTCTGTAGCCTAGCATTTGATCACAACTATCAAATATGCCAGCATACATTGATTTGCCATGATGGTAATTAAGAACCACATATTTCACCAAGTTATATTAAGTTTACTCAATTCTTCTTTTTTTTTTTTTTTCTCCTGGTCCCATTGAAAATCAGATTAAAAGAATGCCATGAGAGAATGTGCAAGTTAACCTATTCTACCTCTCTCCCTTTTCTGCATCTCAGGATACTTTTCAGAACCCCTTGCTATCTCAGGGACTCAGCCAAAGGCATCACAGTAGGTTCAGTCAAAGGCAGTGCCATGGACTGAATATCTGTGTCCCCTTAAACTCATATGTTGAAGCTCTGACCCTAAATGTAACTGTATTTGGAGATGGGAGCTCCTAGGAAGTAATTAAGGTTAAATGTACAGAACTACGTGCTCGCAAACGAGAGGTTCCCGATAAGTCCTACTCTTGCAAACAAAACAGGGAGTTGGGGGCTTGTTTATGTGTAAACATCTTGAAAACCCAGAAAGTCAGGGAAAGGTCAGAAAAACAACAATGTGTCTTGTGACTTGGCAACATTCCACAAACAACTGTATAAAATAAAGCAGAGTGTGCCATTTGAGGCGGCCGCCATGTTTGTCTTGTCTTGTGTTGTCTTGTGTGTTCATTCCTTTGTTTAGGAAACACACGGACCCCAACAGTTAAATGAGGTAATAAGGGTGGGACCCTGATCCAATAGGATTAATATCCTTGTAAGAGACACCAGAGAGTGCGTGTGTGCACTTTCTGTCTTTCTGTCTCTCTCTCCCTGTCTCCCTTTATCTCTTTGTGTGTCTTTCTATCTCTCTGTCTCTCTCTCTCCCATGCATGTACCAAGGAAAGGCCATGTGAGGACATATGGAGAAGGTGGCTGTCTACAAGCCAGGAAGAGAGCCCTCACCAAAAACTGAATTGGCCAGAAACTTGATCTTGGACTCTAACCCCTAGAACTGTAAGAAAATATTTCTGTGCTTTTTAAGTTACCCAGTCTATCGTATTTTGTTATGGAAGCCCAAGCCAAATACTGGAAGGCGGTGGCCAACAGTTTGAGGACAGGAGGAGGGGGAGGTCTGCTTACTTCTCACCATTTCCTTCTGCATCCTGTGTTGTCTCTGCAAGTGCTTCTCTTTCATAACTCCAGTCCCTAAAAGAAGCCATGCACCCTGAGATCCCACTTCTGACCAAGATCTTTCCACCATGGCTCTGGCTCCCATACAGTGGAAAGCGCTCCCTTCCATTGTCCCCCTGCCCTAGAGACGGTAATGGCTTCTTGCTGTTGGCAATCTGTATTTGCACTACTCACCTCTGTTTGTTTCTCAACAATTGCATTATCTATTGTCTTAGTCTGTTTTGTGTTGCTATAACAAAAATACCTGAGACTGGGTAATTTATAAAGAAGATAAATTTATTTTCTCACAGTTCTGGAGGCTGGAAGTCCAAGATCAAGGTGGCAGCTGATTCAGTTGTCTTGTAAGGGCTGCTCTATGGTTTCAAATGGTGCCTTGTTGCTACATCCTCCAGAGGGGAGAAACACTGTGTCCCCACATGACAGAAGGTAGAAGGGTAAGTGGGATAAATGTTACTTGCATCCTCTTTTTTATAGGGGTCAGAATTCCATTCACGAAGGGAGAAGCCCTTATGACCTAATCACCTCTTAAAGGCCATACTTCTTAATAACATCACATTGACCGAGTTTCAGTGCCAGAATTTTGGAGGCGACATATTCAAACCATATAACCTGGAAAAAAGTTTTCTATAGTAAATCTGTCTGGTTGAAAAAATCAGAGTATGGTTTCAGCTTTCTTGGATAGACTTGACTGCTACAGAGGCATTTTAACAAGGCTTAATCTTTCAGGGTTTAGAATGAATTTTTCAGGTAATAATTGTTGGAGAGTTCGTGTAACCACTCTGACTTGTCAAATTAGTAATGTGAAACCTATTTTACCATCCTTTTCTACTAAAGTCTTCCTCTTTTATTCTCATAACTCATAATGCATTTAAACAGCAAAACTGCACATTAAAAGTTTCTTCCAGCATATTGTATGTTGCTGCATTCACTTTTTATTTTCACTCATGTTTCTTTTTTCCTCCCTATCTTACTCAACCGCTTAGGTTTTGTTATAAATATTTTTCAGTTTGAATGAAAAAAAATGATTGAAGCAAAATGATCCATGATCAAATTTAACACTAGGAGACTCAGAGAAATCATGAACTCAGACACTGATTTTGTCACTGATTGCTTCAGTAAAATCTTTAATGGTTCTTTAGATGATGTATTGGATGATGAGTTCTGATTCCCACAGATAATTGAGTTCTATACCCCTAGGTTTGATTTTTTTTTTTTTTTGGTTCACACTTTGAATTGTGCCCAGAAAATTCTCTGGATAGAATTTGATTGCAGATGTCTATTATATTCCAATGAACACATATCAGTTCAGTCTTCCAAAGCATTTTATAATGGAGTGAAGCTGACCTTGTAATACAGTAGCACACTTATCAGGCCATTAAAATGTCCCTCTTATGTAATAGTAGCCAGTTGCAATTGACCAAAAGAAACTCTGATGGGCTTTCACTTGGAAACTTGTGCAAATATGTTCTTTATTTTGATTTCTTTCCATAGGACCTTCAGTTTTCCATAGCATGTTTCAAAAGAGGGATGAAAGTAAACATGATACATTTTAGTTAGGACCTATCTAATGTCTCACAGAGAAGACTTTCTATAGAGTTCAACTGTAAATACAAATAAAGCATGTTATGTAAATGATTCATTGTCATACTTTGATATTTATCAAACACCCCAGGGAGCCATGATGTGCTTTCCTCCCAATTGCTATATATTTTCAGCCTCCATCAAAAAGTATTATAATTAAATAAGTATAATATACCAATAATTTAATTGAAACTATAAAAATAATCTAATTTATAACCTCAGAAAATATATTGTGACCTAAAATTATCAGCATTCGTTAGTAAATTGTGTGTTCCTTTATACATTTTAATCTAGTAAATAAGATCCTTTTCTCACCCAATACAGGCATTAGCTTTAACCTGTTCCCAGTAACCTCTTCCAACCCATATGTAACACCATTTATTGTCACAAAGACCTTCTTAGCTTAACTCTATTATAATTTGTAAATGTACAGAATTTTTCTCTTCTCAAACTTGGTAAGAAATTCCCAAATTACGAGTGCCTTCATCGCCCCATCGTTATCAAATAATACTGCTCTCCCCCAAGTGCATGAGGCTGCTGGAGACTAGTAAATTGCATTAAACTCTTTCTGCTCCATTTTAGCAAGAGAAATTTGCCCAAGTGTATGCAGTATAGAAG